AGGGAGGGAGGGAGGGAGGCAGGGAGGCAGGGAGGCAGGGAGGCAGGGAGGCAGGGAGGCAGGGAGGGAGGGAGGGGGAGGAACGTCAGCTCTCGTCTCTCTCAGCTCTTGTTTCCATCTACCCTCCACGCCATTTCAAAGTACCCGGCGGTTACACTCCGTTAAATTGTAACGTCTTTGTAACCACCAAAAAAATAGACTCGGTCTTGATATGCCCGGCCGTACTCACAGTAGTAGGCGTGACCGGGCAGCCCGAGCGCCACCGGTACCTCCAGTTCTTCCGCGACACGAAACCAGCAAGGTGAAAGGATACCTTGAATTAATTAGAAGGTGAATCGAGATATTTGAGATCTTGACCCATGGAATCTAGAGGTGCATGTCCCGGAACTAAGTTGGTCGGAGTTTGTCCAACTTGCACCCTGCATTGTTTCGTTGACCTTGGGGTCCATGTAGACGGTGGCAGTGCGGCTCTTTATGGCTTTCACTTGGGCACATTCCACTGCCGAATGGCAACTTGTTATGACAACCTACCCATACATAATAAGCTAAAATACTAGGATTGGATGGGTACCAGTTGATAAGCACAAGACAACTTTTCACATCGAAGTTTCTTTGATGGTCAGGCGAGGAACCAAGCAGCTAGCCGAAGGACGACTCCCGACGGGACGATGCGATGCCTGGAAGGAAGAGGGAAGGAGGGAGGAGGGAGGAGGAGGGAGGAGGGAGGAGGGAGGAGGGAGGAGGGATGGACCGTGGGAGAAAGGGAGGAGGAGGAGGGAGGAGGGAGAAGGGACAGAGGGAGGAGGGAGGGAGAGAGATACATGGAGATAACAGATATGATAAGGGAAGGGGAGGGGAGATCAAGGCACAGGAATCGAGATTGTAGACTAGTAAAAGATGACGAACGAGAAATGACAAACATGGATAGGTCAACAGAAGACAGATACTAATGGACAAACCAAGAAGTATTACAGAGCGATAGGCTGCGTGCAAGAGGTCCGTGGGGGAATCAGGTTTCTCTATTGGAGCGATTAGATTTCTTCGTTGGTTCCAGAGCTGCATCAGAGGTAGAGAGCAGTGGTGACATCCTGTCGATAACCTCGGACCAGTCCACTCAGAATAACGAGATGTTTCTCTCCGTCTTGATGAAGGAGAGAAACATCTTGACTTCACCACCTCGCCATCCCATAAGGCTTCAGCACGTCGTCAGCTGACAGTCATCAATCAGATTCCGAGGGGGTGACAATGAGCATGAAGGCCTCCCTGGTGTTCGCACGCAACCAAGGATCTCCTGAGGTGCGTTCGGTCCATGCTGGACCTTGACGACCTCCTGCACTGCCGTCATGCTGGTCGTGACGAGGGAGTGCAGGTCAGGGACTTGACTTTCAGCACGGTCATGCGCGGGTCCACAGGAGAGACAGGGATCAAGGTTGTCCGGGACCCCAAGACGGGCCTGTGGATGATTTCGTACATCTCAGAATCGGTGACATCCACGAACAGTCATCGTCTGCTCGAGTTCATTGTGCGCTTGCTCGCAGGGCCCAGTGGCTTTCTACGACTCTGTGTCATCGGGAGATTACCTGTTCGAGGTCGATTTCATCCAGTGAGTGAATGCGCAGCAATCTTTTCTCGTATGTGTGCTGCTCAACTTGGTGATGCTCCCTCGTGTCGTTTCTCCCCTTGCCGCCCCGGTGCTGTCCAACCGCATTTCCTCCTGCCTTGCTTTTAGTGCCTCCTGCGGGTATGACCGTTTGCTGCAGCACCGCCGGACTCGACCAGACAGGGGTCGAGCAGTTGCTGCGCGGCCCTCCCTTTTCCCAAGTGAGATTTGTCCACTGCTTGACCGAGGCGAAGGGTTGAGAGTTCAAGTTGTGCAGGTGGTTCTGGGTGTAAAGAGCTCACTAGCTAGGACGAGCGCCCCTTCGGAGAGGGACGCCCTCTCTGACAAGGACACAGCGATCAGCACTACCAAGCAGGCCGTTCCAGAGAAAACTGTCCGCATGGCTTGTCGCTCGGTCCCGGCCGGTCTGACTGCGTCGCAGGGGTATGTCATCTCTGAAGCGACCAAGGTGGAAGCCCCGCCGGAGGTCAATGAATCATTGTTCGACGTTATGTCCTGGTCAACAGACGATGTTGGCCCTTGTTCCTGTCTACTCCTGCTATTGACTATCAGCGGCTCAGGTTTGCATCTGGTTGAAGAAGCGGGGATTCGAAGATGAGGAAGAGGCCTTCCAAGCCAATGACGTCGACGGCCGGGTACGATGCTAGGAGTGTGTACTAGTTGGAAGATACGAGGTGCTGTGATGGAGAAGGCAGGCTGTGATGTTTGTGAGCAAAGTTCATTGTGGAAGAAGATTTCTTCCTTGGGACTGGAAACTGGCTCAAGACTTAATTTCAGATTCTGCTCCGGATTTGCGAGCATGACTTGTTCAGCATCGGTGTGCATGCTGGTCCGTCAAAATGGCGTTGCCTGTCTTGACTGTGGTTTGACTCGCTTGCCCAGTTGGCACTCGGGTCAGGCTGGGAAAGGAGATCGAGCAGGTGGAGTCGGAGATAGCTGTCTTGTCTTTGCTCTTACCGTCTCTCAGCTAAAGCGAATCGCATGCAAGCCGAGGACCAGGGAGCTGCGAGTTCTGTATGCCATCCCTTCCATCTCCTCCAATCCGACTGCTTCTCTACTACCATCTTTCTATCCTACCTTCCCTTCCTCCTTAGCCCTCTCTCTCTCTAAGCGCACAACTCACAAAATATGAATGAGGCCACTTGTTGGTCTCTTCCTTGTTCCGATGTGTTGTCTTCGCTCTTTCCGCTAACACTTTTGCCCAGGAACTATCCCCAGAAGTTGTTAGGGATGTTCACCTTGTCATGGACAAGAACGATCGAGCTGGTTGAAATAGAAGAAGCAAAGGTACGACCTGTGTAATTTAGCTCATCACTAAGTCCTCTTCCAAGGTCGAGTGGACCATGGTCAACACACAGATAGCGGTTGTCTCCGCCGTTGCCTTCATCTTTGCCTGGAACATGTTTTATCACGCCTCCTACAGTTGCTTCTGCGATCCCTCGGGGATCGACTGCTGGTGCTTGCAAGGTTTCGACATGCAGAATAAGGAGACAGGGTCAATCCTCTACTGCTTCTCAGCTGTCGCCGCCTTCTGCTTCATGTGGGCAGCTCTGCTCGCCGTTCTCCACATCATGATCATCAACGAGATGAGCGACAAGCTCGAGGTCCAGTACATGGTCGCCATCTGCTCCATGAAGCTCTCCAAGGATGTTCCTGGGATCTTCCTCGTCCTGGGCGCCGCTTTCCTCAACGTTCCCATCTTCACCTACGGCATCTTCAACGAATGGTTCGGCTTGCGTTTCATCCTCACCAACTCCTCGGTCATCGGGCAGTTCACTAGCGGCTTCTGCTACTTCGCGCTGATCTGCGTCGGCCTGCTGCTACTTTGGGGATACTACAACCGCGTCCCTCATTTCGTCGGAGTTGTCTACCAGGCCAAAGTCGCCGCTTACCAGCAGGATGTCGCGCAGATGTCGAAGAGCAAGAGGCAAAATAGGCAGACATCGCAGTCTGAGGTCATGAAGGAAACCGAAATGTTTCGCGCTTCGGAGATGAGGCCAAGCTCAGGGAGGAGTTCAGAGAAAGTCTTCGCAGCGTAGAGGTGAATGAGGCAGGAAAATGTGATACTACCCGTGTCGTAATAGACAAAACACTTGATTGGAAAAGATATCTTTATTTACAAGGCAAAGAATACACAGCGATACCCCGAATGAATAGGCAAAAACTACAGATCGATATGAATATTTCGAACCAGGCAATCCTTTAACGCTTCGACCTCGACGCTGCTGATTGACTTGATGGCCGAGAACGAATCCATGATGCACTCTGACATCTCCAAAATCTCAACCGAGGACTTGTGGGGTTCTTGGCTCGGAACAGGGTTGGACTGAGCCTGCTTGGCAGAAGCACTGTGCTGAGCCTCTTCACACATGACCTTTGGCTCTTCTTTTATCTTTTCACATGTTGGAGCAGGCTGAGTTGCAGATCGATTATATTTCCTGATGCAAAACCCAACAATCGCGCAGGTCCCGTGACCGCAAATAGCATGACTCTGCTTGTTCTGTGAGCACATGATGATGTCCTGCTGAGGAGAAGGTGCTGAAGCTACGAGTATTGTGGTGATGTGGCTAGAAGCAGGAGGACAGACACACGGCGAAGTACGGCAGGAGCAGGATAGAGCCTGTGGGGGAGGGAAAGGGGAGACTGGTTGGAGTCGGGGAGTCGGGGATTTTTAAATAGATCCCTGGGGAAGTTGGGGAAGGTCACATGGTATGTCTGTAAAATCGCAACGATTGGTTGAGGGTCATGAGGGTCGGTGAATCCATGATCCACCAGTCACGAGGTCCGAGAGACACGTCCACGATTCTAGAGCGGGCGGTAGGCGAGGTAGAGGCTGTGAAGGGGTCGTTTGGAGTTTTCTGAGGACCAAAGCACCGAAGCGTTCCGTTTCTGAGTTTGAAAAGGTACAGTATCTTCACCGAATGGAGCGCACCCTTTCCAAGTGGCACTTGAAAGACAACGTTCCATTTTAGGATATCAACGGATTAAAGTGTAGTAAGTATTGAAACGATCTCTGTTCAATTTTATATTCGGCGCAGGGTTCCTCCGGTTATCGATCACGTGTGCCACTCCTTCAGCTTTACAGAATTACTACCCCCTCTTCATCCCAATTAAGTAGGGGTACGAGATATGTCGAGGTCTGATTGTTCTCAGTGACTGGCTAATGGGAGGGATTGGGAAATTACAGGGGTAGGTAGCCTTCTTGGAGGGGTCCAGAATGCTTGTATTTCTAGGAGAATGAAGGGGTAGTCAGAATAACTCTACATGAAATCTCAAGACGCAGTTAGACCGGTAATCGTACTAAGTTACAATGTAAGAGCTCCCGTGCTCAAGATGACATGTATCCGAGCCTGACATGTATCCGAGCGGCCGACATGTCCGCGCGGACTCCCCGGTGGAGCCAGGCTCTTTGGCCGGCCCCGGAAGCGGAACCGGGAACTCCGAGTCCTGGCGTACGGCCGGGTCCGTGTCACGGCGGCCAGAACTTCGGAACCACAGTGTCGGACTGACCGTACTCGGATCGGACCGCGGCCCGGCCCGGCCGCCCGGCCCCGGCCCGGCTCATCGGCAGGGTCCGGGCCAGGCTGCTTGAGTGCTAAGTCACAATTCAACCGGGTTCAGTACGGCGTGACCGACACGGTCGGACGCCGGTCCGGCACCGTCCGCCGTCCCCCCGGCCCTGGCGGGCCCGGCACTGAAACGAACGGTTCCGGCAGGCCGGCGGTCCGGGCCGGGCCGGTCCGACCGCCGCGACCGCGGCCCGGCCCGCCGGGCCACTCACGGTTACCCCTGCGCCTTTGAGCCGGTCACCCCGGTGCCTTTCCGAAGTTCACAGTTCAAACCGTAAGGCCCCCGGGTGGGGGTCACGGTAGGCCCCAGTCCGATCAGTGGTCCTGCCAGTCACTGAGTATGGTAGCCGCGGCCCGGCCGGCCCGGCGGCCGCCCGGCGGTCGCCCTTCAATCCTTGGGCAGCAGCCTTGCACTAATGAATCATTTAGTAGACAACAGGAAGGCAGCGACTACTAACTTCGCTCTACCCCCACCTACACCTTCTTCCTCGGCCTCCCTTGGCTGGTGCCTTTCAAACAAGGGGTGGGGGTAGGGATGGTCCTGTAGACGTACCCGTAGTTGAAACGTTTTTGGGGAAAAGAAGGGCTCTACTTTAAAATTCAATTCTGTTGAAAAAAGGTTGTAAATTCCTCTTATCAAATTTAAAACTTTGTCAGAAAAGTATAGACCAATACAAATAAAATCTATGTGCAAGGCCCAGCGGGGTAGGGGCGCCAGAATCGTGGGGTTATAGTACAGCTCCCCGGGATCTATGAGGGGTGGGGTACCGGCATCAAGGTCCGTATGCTCGCGCTGTCTTGCTGTATGAGTAAGAGGAGGAGATACCCCTCCCTCCTCCTCTCTCCCGTCCATGCTCAATGCAAGCGCCCTCCTCTTTCCATCTTCCGCATGTCCCCCCGTCATAGTCCATGGTTGCTGTTCGTTGACCTTGTTGCTGTGAACACGCTCAGCATGCTTCATTTTGTAGTTACGTCCAATCATACATCATCATCCTCTTCCCCGTTACCCGCTCGCCTGCTCACTTCTAGGCAGAAAGCTGATTGCATTGGCTTTTGATGAGATGTTTCTTCTACTTGTTTTGCAGTTTCTTCGGTCGTTTTCTTGCAATTTTCTGTGAACATATGGCATGAGATTTATGCAGCTCCATGTTATGTGCTATTCGAGGTGTTGATCTGTTAGTGTTGTTGCAGGTTACAGTTCGGTTACAGCTACAGGGAGTAGTTTGGATCAGTTTGCATGATCTTTGATCATCTTACGAACGCTGTTTATCCTTCAGTGTGCAATTGAGGGAATCGATGCGGTCTTGATCGAAGTGCAAACGCTTTGTCGCGCTGACAAAGATGTTCTCTATATGTATGCAGTCCATGATGATAAGAGCCTTCATAGTGTCTTCCTCGCTGCTCTTCGCTTCTTCCATGGCGTTCCAGCCTGTCCTGATTCAATTTGACGCGGTCAAATGTTCCCTCCGCTCTTCGCCAACCAGGCGCATGAGCGATTTCCGCATGTGCAGCTCGAGTGAAGGTTATCCTTTGGCCCCGCTTCAGAGTGCAAAGCTGAGGTCAAATGCAAAGCACTTTCCAAGAATCAAACCAGTTGCACCAGGAAGACACGGGTCCTTTCGCAATGGTATACGTCAGGTACAAGGCATGCAAGCTTTGGGAAGGAATCTATGCGCTTTGCGAAAGGAGGCAATTTCATTACCGAAGGAAAAGAGCTCCAAGAATCTCCTGATGTACATGCTTAAGATTTTCTTTCGTGCGGGGTTGGTGTTTGTTGCAATGGTTGCAGCGATGGCACATCAAGCGATGGCACATATGGTAGCTCTTGGAGCTCGTGATGCAACTTCTTACAACATATGCAGGTCAGTGCCGGTGCAAGCATGCAGGAGGCGACGGGAGTGATGCCACCCCTATGGAAACTTTGTCTCCTTGGATGTTTGATCATTACATCTGCTTGTCTCGCTGGTGCTGAAACAGCCATCACGACCCTGTGGCCCTGGAAGGTCCTTATGACGCAGACAGAAAGATTGATACTTATATGATATGCCAGGTGAAGAAGATTGCTGAAGAAGAAGGAGAAAAATCTCCTTTCAAGTTGCTTGAAAGGGACATCACAAAATTCTTAACAGCCATCTTAATCGGCACCACGACTTGTACAATATACTCTGCTGCTTTGGCAGCTGAGATGGTAAACGCTTTTTTGCGGTGCGATGGAGTGGTTGATTCCAATATTAGGCAGCACAATATGGAGGAGACAAGATGATGACCATTGTAACGATATGGCTGACTGTTGTAACGTTGGTGTTCGGTGAGTGTAATCAGCAGCAATGGGTCGTGGTAGCTGACACTTGGGTGCGCGTTTTGTATCTCTAGGTGAGATTATGCCAAAGGCCCTTGCTGTAGCGCAGGCAGAGAGAGTTGCACGGATCATGGTACCAGCTATCAATGTGATCGCAATGCTGGTGTATCCCGTGGGCAAGTTGATGCAGGTCAGTTTGCTCGGTTGTCCAATTTCATCATCAAGGATTTGCAGATCACGTCGAAAGTTGTCCTCAGTCTGATGGGCGTGACGGAGTCAGAAGAGAACAACGTAAGCGAAGAAGAGCTAAGGATGATGTGAGAAGAACCACGGTTCGAACGAGTAGGTTTTGACTCGATTTTTTAGAGTGATGGGCGCCAAAATCAGCGGGGAAATCCGAACGGAGGAGCAAGACATGATAGGAAAGAGCAGATGATGACAATGCGGACTCATTGCTGACATTGGAAGTTCTCAACAGAGAGTGTGTTGGACTTGCAAGATACTCTTGTGACAGCCATCATGAAGCCAAGGTGAATGCGACGTGTAGTTTTGGACGATTAACGGGAGATGTGCAGGGTTGAAGTCGTGGCGGTGGAAGCATCTACAAGCATCCGAACGTTTGTGGTGACCCGAAGCCTCTTGTTCTTTTGAACATCATCGCTGATGCATGTTGCTTGCTTGGCATGTGCAGAAAGCTGTGTCGGAGAGCGGATACAGCAGAATTCCTGTCTACGACGACAACATCGACAATATAATTGGAATGGTTCTTGCAAAGAGTTTGATCGATTACCTGGACAAGCCCGGATGGGTGGAGGGAATTCAACACAGGTACAGAAAGAGAAGAGCAGGATGGAGGCAAGTAGGATGGGCGCTTGGTGATAACTTTTCGCAGTACTGTTGCCGACATCATGGATCCTGCGTACTATGTGCCTGAGTCGATGACGGTGAGACAGAGGGCTGATCAGAGTGCGTGCATGCCTGGAGACGGGGGCAGGCGAGACTGAAATGCATCTCCTTCTCAATCGCCCGAATGCGTGTGGAGCAGAGGAATAGTTTTGTCTTTTCCAAGAGAATCAGCGAGGATATGGAAGGCGAAGACTTTGACTCGACGGTTGTAGGTGTGGAATGCGCTGGAGGAGATGAGGCTGCGCAGAGTCCACATGGCTATAGTGGTGGATGAGTACGGGTGATTGATCCGCCAGCGTCCTCGCCCTCCTCTCACTTGCTCCCAGGGGTACCGCAGGGATAGTTACCATGGAAGACATCCTTGAAGAGGTATGCGATGGGTGCGATGGGGGGAGATGGGTGGGAAGAGGAAGAGGAGGAGGGAGGAGGAGGAGCAGCAGCAGGGTGGGAAGAAGGGGAACCCGCGGCAGAGAGAGGGAGAGTAGAGTGTAGATTGTGGTAAGTGACAGGATAAGGAGTGATCGATGGTAAGGTGATCGGAGAGATCTACGACGAGGACGACATCGAAGAGCTCGTCAAGGAGCAGGTGCGAATGTTACAGGGGAGTCTGTGGGATGTAATCGTAGCTGCTCAGAGCTCGATCTACAAGGAGACGGATGGCAGTTTCACCATAGAAGGATCTGCAGACCTTGAGGAGACGATCAAGGCACTTCAGGTTGACAAGGAGGGAGGGGAGGGGGAGGAAGAGAGAGTAGGAAAGGGCGCTGATGCTGATGCTGATGCATACACAGATCGAGGTTGGCGAGAAGGACTTGATCGAGTTCGCAACCCTGTCTGGATACCTGTGCCATAAGGTCCCTCCCTTTCCTCCCGCCCTGCTGACTCTGTCTCCTGCTTTCACCATCACGCAATTCAAATTCAGAACAGCTCTGACATATTGCAGGCTGGCTGCATTCCAGCGATTGGAACCGAGATCCTCCTCTCCAAGACCATGCCAAAGGTACTCTCTCTACCCCTTTCCCCCGTGCCCTCGCCGCCGTTTCTTCTCCTCCCTTGAAGACATCCTCTCATTCCGACTCTTTTGTTCATCTTGGTTCCAGGGGAACCCCAAGGACGAGACTGAACCCTACGTCTTCGATGGATGGAAAGTGGTGAGTTCTTGTCATGACCTCCAATACCTCCACCTCTGGTCGCTCGCTCCTCTTGCCGTGTCCTCCCCTTCTCCCTCGCGCGCTCCCTCCCACCCTGTCATGACCATGTGGCAGATGGTGACAGCAGCAGACGAGAGAAGAGTGATCTCCGTCTCCGCGCATCCCTACTCCAACCTCACCAACGTGAGCTTCCCTCCTCCTCTCCCCCCCGCCTGACGGATCTTGCAGATGCTGTCCTCCATGCCGACTCCTATTGATGGCGAGTACTCTCCTGGTAGCACGAGGATGAAGGAGGCACTGAGATGCTGACGGTGCCACAGACGACCTTGACTCGAGCCCTTCAGGAGACGAGGAGGAGGCCCGCGCTGTCAACAAGTCCAAACTAGCAGGGTAGACGATAGAAAGCACTCGAGGAGGTGGAGGTGCGGGAGAAAGGTCACGGCAGTGGAAGAGAAGTTTGAGGAGGGCGGAAGAGGTTAGCTCACAAGGGGCGAGATGGGGAGGAGGAGGAAGATGAGGAGGAGGAAGAAGAAGGAGAGGGAGAGAGAGGGAGAGGGAGAAGGATTATGCGAGTATGATACGCGGGTATTATAACCTTGTTAGCCAGACTTCTTTGCATTCTCAGAAGCTCCGTGCGTTGATCCTTGAGATCCAGCCAGTCGCCTGCTTGTTGATGGTGCGATGCTCGCTCGCCGTCACGATCTGCTCCAAAACTTCTCCTCCTCCTCTTACGAGTCTCCACCGCCCTGCCCGCTCTCAGTCGCGCCAATGGAGACAGCAGGCAGCTACCGGTGTCGTCATCCCAGACTCGCTCAACTCTGCTGTTCGCCTCCTCCGCTTGACTCTGAGGAAAAACTCACATCAAGATCGGGATGTCGAGAAGAGAGGCGTGGCGGGGGGTGAGGCTGGCAGATGAGAGACACGCGGTGCAAAAGGGAGGGAGGGAGGAGAGGGAGGAGAGGAAGGGAACCTGCGTCATGGGAGCGAGCATCCTCCGTTTCTCTGCTCTAGTTTGCTGCTCCTGAACCTTCACGATCCTCTCCTGCTCCGATCGCTGGCGCTCCGCTGCGGCATCTCCAGGCGAAGTTTTCTGCCTCTTGGCTGCAATGTTGACCTGCAAACGTCGTGCTGTCAGTGATCAACCGTGCATGCCGGATTAACAAAAACCTCATCATCTTGTACCCTTGCTCTATCTGTCTTCTTCTCTTTCTTGTCCTTCTTGTCCTTCTTGTCCTTCTTGTCCTTCTTCTCTTTCTTGTCCTTTTTTCCTTCTTGTCCTTCTTCTCTTTCTTCTTCTCCCTCTTCATCCAACGTGTCGCAGAGGTTTCGGGTCCGTCGAACGACTGAGAAAACACATTCATTGTCAAGCACATTCACGTCTCCTCCCTCCAGCTCCACGGACCCTCCTTCTCTTGCCTCCCCTTCCCTTCCTCTCTCCTCCCTCCGTCCCTCCATCCTCCCACTCTCCCTCCGTCCCTCCGTCCCTCCCTCCCTCCCTCCCTCCCTCCCTCCATCCCTCCATCCCTCCATCCCTCCCTTCGCCCACACTCTCCTCCCATCTCCAGGATCTCTCTCTACCCTGAATTCCACTCCGGAAACATGTTTCGGACTGAGAAGGGGAAGGATGGGTAGTCAAGGTCTTGAATCTCTCAATTAAGATAAAGGTAAATAACCTATACACCTGACCCTCAAGTTCATGCACAGGGACAGCTGGGTCTGGTGGGGGGTGCGGGAGAGGGGGAGAGTCAGAGGTGAAGAAGGGAGGAGGAGGGAGAGAGAGGAGAGAGAAGAGAGGAGAGAGGAGAGAGGAGAGAGGAGAGAGGAGGAGGAGGAGTCAGGGAGGAGGAGGAAGAACACGGAGGAGGGGATGAGATCAAAGTGATGTTGCGATACTGGAGACTCAAGCTCGGTCTGCCACCTCGGGAGTCAATGAAACAAGGCAAGCAGCACGCAATGAAGCCAGTGGAGGACGAGTCGAGTGTGGTGACGTCAGGGGAGAGACGAGCTCGAGAGGTCTGCGTACATGTTCATGAGGTAAGGTGATGTCCTTTCGGGACTTTCATGGGAGGAGGAGGAGGAGGAGGAGGAGGGAGGAGGAGGAGGAGGGAGGAGGAGGAGGAGGAGGAAGGAGGAGGAGGTGGAGGAGGAGGACATACTAAGGATGACGATGAGCAGGGCAACCATGAAGCGCAGCATGTCCAAGTTGTTCATCTTCACAGCGAAACAGAGAGGAGCTCAGACAAGACCGGCACTCCTCAGGCGATCCTCTCGCTCGTCTATGCTGTTTTCTACTGCACCACCTCCATCGCCATGGTCGCAACCAACAAGCTGGTCGTGAGCAACTTCGACTTCTCCTTCACCTCCTTCCTCCTCCTCCTCCAGGCCCTCACCACCATCTTCCTGGTGCAAGTCTTCCCCATCACCCCGACCTTCTCTCTGCATGCTCTCAGGAAGCTCGTTCCTCTCTCCTGCTTCTACCTCCTCAACGTCACCACGGGCCTCCTCGCCGTCCGCCTGCTCACCATCCCCGCCTACACGAGCATCAAGCGCCTGACTCCGATCTACGTCCTCGTCTTCGACTTCCTCCTGCGAGGCAAGCGGCAGTCTGCCATGGTCATTTGCGCGGTCTTCCTCCTCCTGGCTGGGCCCCTCATGGTGGCGAGGGGAGACATGGACTTCAAGTTCTCCTCCTATGCTGTTGGCTTCGCTGCGAGCGCAACGCAGGCGCTCTACCTCATCAGCGTCTCTCACTTCAACGACGCCGGTTTCTCCGAGGTAGAGCTCAACTACTTCAACAGCATCATCACCACAGCCCCCCTCCTCGTGGGGACCTTCATCTTCGATCGCGGCCTCGTGCATCATGCTGCATGGCAGAAGCCCTGGTTCCTCTCCTCCCTTGCTCTCTTCTCGCTCCTCAGCGCTGTCTTCCTCTTCGCTGCTACCGTGCTCACCAGCCGCTGCTCTGGGCTGACGCTGTCGGTGATGGGGCAGCTGAAGGGGCTCGTGCAGACGTGGATCGGCTTCTTGTGGTTCGGCAAGGTGAACTTTGTGGAGGAGGGCTTCGTGGGGATCGGAGTGTCAACAGCAGGAGCAGCTCTGTATGCGTATGCCAAGTACGATGCGAAGAGGGGGAAATGAACAGGGACGGAGAAGAGAGAGCAAGAGACGGGGAGCGGAAGCGTGAAAGAATGTTCCCTGCCGTGTCTCCGTGCTTGGTTTTGGTTTTCAGAGGAAGATACACCAAAGAGCTGAGTTCGGAGATCAGGAGGGAGCGGAGAACAAGGGGAGTAGGGAGTATGCAGACTGCAGGGTTGTTCAAAAGCTCGTTTGACGCAACTGATTGTGACGTAACCTTTTTCTTGAAGAGATATAAAGTACAAAAGAAAGAATGCGAGACAGCAGCGTCGGAATGCTCAAATCTGAGGATCTGATCATATCCTGACGACTTGCCTCCTCCCACTTCATTCTTCAATGTCCAGCGATCTGAACAGAACGCTCGGGCTGAAAATCCACAACGTCACTTCCCGCCGCCGCCTCCTCCTCCTCCTCCTCCTCCACTGCCCTTTCCCCCCTCCCTCTTCCCTTCCCCACTTCTTCCTCTTGTCGGTTTTACCTGTCGCCATCCAGCCTCCCGTCCACGTACTCCACCTGCCTGATTGCGTGCATGGCAGATATCCCCGCGCACTGAGACGAGGGTCAGAGAGAGCCAACGTGGTACATGAGAGTGAGCAACAGAAGAGGGACGTGGAGAAGGAGAAGAGGAGGAGGAGGGGAGGAAGGGAAGGGGAGAGAAGAAAGAAGGGTTTAGCGTAAAGAAAGCAAGTGAGGAGGGGAAGGTCCAGCACGCTGCAGGAGGAAGCACCTTGAAAGAGCAGTGCCGCTCATTCCCCGCCATAACCCATAGCATGCCATCGATGCCGCAGCCGCAGACCCCGCACACCTGCGCCAGCAGCATGAGTACCGAGGAGGAGACCAGGTTGGGCGCCTTACATGGGTGGGCTGCTGCAGGACTGCCTGCTCCTCCGCTGGCGTCTGCTTCAACTCCACCTCCTCTTCCTGTGGCAGCCGTCAGCCTCCCTTGAAGTCTCCCTGTCCTCTTACCTCGAAAGACACCCCCCGCTCCAGCCGCAGTGTCTCCATCCCCACCTTCTGCTCCTGAGGAGTAAAAGTCAGGCAGGCAGCAGCGGCACATCCTCAGCTCACCGGGTTGCTCGTCAGCCCCATCTCGTTCTGTGAGGCATCTGACGACCGGGAGCACCAGGACATCTGGTGCAGGTCGTTGTAGTCTGGCATTGTCCATATGTCACCAATGAGCCAGGAAGGGCAATGGCAGGAAGGGAAGCAGGAGCAAGAGAAAGAGCATAAGGAGGAGGAGCAGGAGCAGGAGCAGGAGAAGGAGCAGGAGCAGGAGCAGGAGCAGGAGCAGGAGCAGGAGCAGGAGAAGGAGGAGGAGGAGGAGGAGCAGGAGGAGGAGCAGGAGGAGCAGGAGCAGGAAGACGACGCAGAAGCGGATGCAGGGGTAGAGACAGAGGAGATTGAAGGGAGAAATGCATACCGGGTTGATGATCAATTTTATCCTGCACCTGATGCGCGTTGGCGTGGCTGTGGTCATGGTAGTGTTTCCCCACGATGTCTCTTGTCCTGTCAATGTTGTCTCTGCTTGCAACACTGCAGTCTGACTGATACTTCGACTCTCTCGACAAGATCTGCTCGGACATCTTCTCCAGCCTCGACTTGGCAAGACTGTTCCCCCCCTGGCTCCCCGCCTGCACTTGCTCCATCCTCACCTCCTCCCCGCCTCGCAGTCGCATGCTAAGACCCACGTGGTTTGACCTCAGACATGCCCGGCAACTCCTCCTCAAAGAATCAACCATCGCTGAGCTCCCTCCCCTGGCGTTCCCATCGGGCCACTTGGCCGACGTACTGCTGCACCATTGTGGTTGGAGCATGCATGACAGCAGGACAAAGGCGACGATTCGTACGTGCATATTGGTCGCCTTGGTCTTCGGGACAGACATAGAAAAGAATAGCTGTATCAATGAATAACAAGAAATGTGGAGGGAACAAACAAGTCCTATCCTTTAAAAGGCGTTATCGTTGAGAAAGAATTTTGACGAAAGATTCCCAGTTGCTCCAGAGCGCAAAGTGTGCGAATCACGTATATGATGCCAATGTAGATTGGTTTCCTCCAAAGGTCTGGATTTTGCCTTCAATAAAACGAAATCCTCCGCTGCTCTCGTCAAATCAGTCCGATATCGCCCTCAAGCTATCCCCGCTGTTCTCCTGAGCCTCACCTTCAGAATCTCTCAACTGAGTTCAGCCTCTTCAAACGTTCCTAGTGATGGGTGTGCACGATTGACTACTGGTTCCACTATCTTTCTCTTCCCTGACCTCGCATCCCATCCATTCCCCGTTCGTCTCCCGCTCTCTCCATAGCGGTCGCTGCTGACAGTGAAAATTGCGGCGGGGGTCTTCCCGCAGGATTACGATCGTATAACCACTACGTAAATGTTTTACTTACATCCATACTTTTGTAATTTTGTAAATAAAATATGTGTGTTTACTAAAACTTAGGGATTTGTTTGAAATTGCATCAAAGGTCAGTAGTTTGGGAGAGCCCCCAGCGAAAAGATAGTTATTTTGTGGTAGTGTTCATATAAGACCTGTCAAAAAACTCATTTTATAACATGTGTTTCAGTTTTGAAAATAAATGTTTGGTGAAGTTTCAAATATACTCCAATATTTTCGCATTCAAAATCTCTAATTTGAATCTTGGGATATTGGCTCAAAGGGGGCATGCTGACGCAAATAGTTCGTTCTGTTCCGAAAAGATGTCTTATGATGTATTTATAAGTATTCTTTGGATCGAAACATTGGAGGATAAAACGTTGTAGGAATGAAGGGATTACGAAAGGAGATCTTTTTGCAATCTGTGCCGTCACAACCCCATCGGTTCGAGGCCCCCGACACAGCAAGTACTGGGCCCGCCTCATTCGGATAAAAATATTTACTTATCAAAGTTAAGTGATCAATTATGGGACAGCCCTTTTGAATTTCATAATTGTTCGCTTGATGCCCCCCAAAGTTGGTTGATATTTTCAGTTATTAGCGCGCAGGTAAAATTCTGAGAAATGGAACTGATGCTTCAGAGCAGCGCTGATGAAGGTCTTACAGACAACATGTTTCTACGGCATGGTTGATTCTCCGAGGTTGAGATATGAATTGACCAAAGCTAGCAAGCGATTTGATTCTGGTTTTTCAATCGCCACTTATCACTACCTGCGATGATTCGACAGAACCTGAATCGTTGCGTCATTACTCATTCACATTGATGGAGTGTGCTGGATATGAATGTACTTGGGTTGAGTGACTTGTCGACCTGTGTTGAATCCTCGGGTTATCATCTTGATAAAAAAAAACAAAAGATACGCTGTACAGCAAGAATGCGAAGTCAGATGCGTGTTCAACTAGGAGAGCAGTGCTGAGGTAGTGCTCTGATATTGTCATGTTTGTTTAGGCGCGGAAGGAATTGTTTGTGAGCTGTCAGACACTTTCAGGTAATGATGTTTAGTAAGTAAAACTGGGATCATGTAAGAAGACTTGATGCAATTCATTGAAGTATCAAGAAAATGAGACTCTCAAAACATGTTCCGCTCTCCTGGGCTTCTGTGTTGGCAAATCTCGACATGATGCCAAACATTCACAGGTCTTTAGGGAATCACGTGTGAGAATGAATGCTTGCAAAAAGACTTTCATGTTTCTGTGGACAGTCAAGGACAGTCGATGATCCAATGAAGAGAAACCTTCCCATCGCGAATGCTAGCTCAATTCTTCTACTGACAGTAAACATGTTCATGACTGGACTGCATTTACACCCTGTGTAGGAGCCTATTCTTGTGCACATGAACTCCGATGAGCAATCGCCCGGCTCAAGTTGGGGCGGTGAACTGACCTAATAGCAGTCTTAAAGGCTCTCGACTCAACTGTGAGCTCTACTTCAGAGTCGGCGGGAGCCCAGTGTCGGCCCTAAGGCTGAGAGTTCTCATCATGGATCCCACTTTGACCGTCTCTGCCGATCAGTTGACACGTTACTAAGGCAGCGATCGGACTGCCAGCGAGGTTGACAACTGACACCACCGCATTGCGAACTGAATACTTCACGTGACTAGCGCCATGCGCACTGGCACAGTAGCACTGCGCCGGCAATGTTGCCGTGAATTGCTGCTGAGATTTTGAGTAAGTGTTCGCCCTAGCCAGCTGCCGCTCAGCGAGTTTATCTAGCTGTGAATTTGGCACATTTCAACGTTAACATCGCTCTCAGTCTCCGACACAACAGATCAAGCACAACTGGCAAGCCTCTAAAGCTATGATTACAAACTTTGAAATCAAGTTCCGTGTAGCGGACAGTGAACAACGGCTGGCTTGAATCAGCTGGGGCGCGTTTTTGTCTATCTACAGTCTAACTTACATGATTACAATCCGAGACTGGCGGTGGAACTGACCAGTGCCTCTCAGACAAAGGAAGTCCGATCTCAAGGCCGAGCATTTAGTCCTCAGATTCCTCGCCGTCGACCCATTCTTTCAGTGTTCTCAAGCTTTTGAAGAGCCTGTTGCCCGCACGAAGGTAAGGGGCCACCACTGATTGTGCACCTTCATGTTGAGATGTCGGCGGGTCAGTCGGCACCTGAGGGGGTGCTGGCATGATCCATGCCCCTCGTGCCTGTCCAGACTTGGCCATAGGGTTATGATCGTCCTTCACGTCATTCGAGCCTGCGCTTGCACCTAGCAGTGAGTTCAGAGTTGCCTGCGCTGGCTGTGGGGCCGAGACAGGATTTGCTATCGCTGGCTGGACAGGGACGGCTTCAATGGGCTTTGCTACAGGCATTCCGTGATCGAGGTGGATAGGCCGGACCGCATTGATCTCCTCCCATTGGTCAGGTTGACAGCAGAGTGAGCACATGACGATGGAAGTGGCAATCTGACAGATGGATAGGAGAAGATCGAAGACAAAGATTGCATATGCACTGCCTTGGGCCATTGAGCAGAGGCGATTGCTATCGACTAGATCATAATCATCTGCAGAAGTCAAAGTGTCGTCAGCGGCTATCGAGAAACAGAAGGCGCATGCGTTCTTACCACAAATAAACTGTGATGAAAGGGCAAGGCATAATGAGATGTACGTTGACGTCAGCAGCAAGAGGATGTCACTGATCAGCTGCGCGAGGTAAAGACCCCCAAATAGCTTTGTTCTCTTGCTGCTAGTCGCGATCCCAAGACCTCCGAAGATGAGAGTGTAGAGGCCAGGAATGATCCCCCAGAGTCCAATGAACACGAGCCATGCCTTGGCTGCGGCTCTATCACCCTCACAGCTTGAGTAGTGGTACGATGAAGAGCTGCTGCTGCTTCCGTAGGAGCTCGACGTATGCGAGTAGGAGCCGCTGTAAAAGCCGGAATTGTAACCTGTGTTGTAATACCAGGTCAGGTCGCGATTGTAGTCCGAGCTTGACGATTGGGATGCTATGTAGCTGTTGTAGTAGCCCGAGCAAAAGCCATTATAGTACCCCGAGTTGTGGGTGTAGAGGTAGGTACTATGACCGGTGTTGTACCCCGAGTTAAAGCCAGCGTTGAACCCCGAGTTGTATGACAGCTTGTAGGTGGTCAACGAGTCCCCCTGGGCGAACCCCTTGTAATATCCTGAGTTGTATCCAGTGTTGTATCCAGTGTTGTAGTCGTAGGTATGATCCCACAGGGAGCTCGGGTTGTAACCTGCGTTGTAACCTGCGTTGTAAGCAAGTGAATACGTGCTGCTTTCGTATGAGTAGGAGGAGAATCCGTTTCCCACATTGCTGTACGAATAGCCGGAGTAGCCTTTGTTGTACCCCTTGTTGTAACCATAGTTGTATGCATCATTGTACGTTGATATGAACGTTGTGTCGAATCCTTTGTTGTAACCATAGTTGTAGCCCCGGTTGTATCCGCTGTCGTATCCCGAGTTGTAGGAGGAAGAGCTGCCGTATCCCGAGCTCGATGAAGAAGAGGAAGATGATGAGCGGCAGGCAGAGGGGTTGTATGCGGCTGGGACCACTCCTGCAATGAACAAGGCGAACCCAAGCACCATGCTTGCGATGCACATGGGGCGGACAGACGAAATAGAACACTTACACATTGTGATTTGATCGAGCAGCGAGCAACGGAAAGGCTAGAAGAGCGTCTGATGGAGTCGCAAGAGGAGAGGGGAGGGGACGGGAGGGGAGGGGAGAGGGGAGAGGGGAGAGGGGAGAGGGAGAGGGGAGAGGGGGAGGGGGGGG